GCAATAGAAACAAAGGAGAAAATGAACACATGGGACTACATCAAACTCAAAAGCTTCTGCACAGCAAAAGATACAATCATCAAAACGGAAAGGCTACCCACTGTATGAGAGAGCATAATTGCCAATGATATCTCAGAGTTAATTTCCAATACATATAGAGTGCTCATACAACTCCACAAAAGGAAGACAAAGAACCCAATTAAAAAAATGGGCAGAGAAACTAAATAGACACCTCTCCAAACAGGACATACAAATGACTAAGAGACATATGAAGAAAGGCTCATCATCACTAATCATCAGAGAGATACAAATTAAAACAACAAAGAGGTATCACCTCACACCTGTCAGAATGGCCGCCATCAAAAAATCATCAAATAACAAATGTTGGCGAGGGTGTGGAGAAAAGGGGACTCTAGTGCACTGCTGGTGGGAATGCAGACTGGTGCAGCCACTATGGAAAACAATATGCTGTTACCTCAAAAAATTAAAAATTGAACTTCCATTTGATCCAGTGATTCCACTTCTAGGAATATACCCTAAGAAGCCTGAAACACCAATCAGAAATAATATATGTACCCCCATGTTTATGGCAGCACTATTTACAATAGCTAAGATCTGGAAACAACCCAAGTGTCCATCAGTAGACAAATGGATAAAATAGCAGTGGTACATATACACAATAGAGTACCACGCAGCTGTAAGAAAGAAAGATCTCTTCTCTTTTGAGACTACCTGGAGGGACCGGGAAAGTATCATCCCAAGCGAAACAAGCCAAACAGAGAAAGACAAGTATCATATGATCTCACTTTTTTGCAGAATATAATGAACACAACAGTCTGAGGAATGGGGTAGTCCCAGAGACGCGGAAGTGGGGTACAGACTGACAATCCCCAGAAGAGGGGATGGTGGGGGAGAGATAAACCACAGAACTTATATGCATGTAAGCATGAATAGTGGACATGGACAACACAGCTGGGGACAGGGTGGGGAGGGAGGGGGAGGGCGAATTAGTGGGGGGACAAGGAGAAACATCTATAACAATAATAAATTAATTAATAATAAAATAAAATAATTAAAAATAAATAAATTAAAAAAACAATTCCATTTATAATTGCATCAAAAGGAATATAATATCTAGAAATTTAACAAAGAAGGTGAAAGACCTGTACAAAAAAAAACAAACATGTAAGTCATCAATGACGGACATTGAATAAGACACAAATAAATAAAGATATATTCTGGCCCTGGCTGGCATGGCCTAGTTGGTTGAGCATTGATTGTCCCATGTATTGAAAGGTCACCAGTTTGATTCCAGGTCAGGAGACATGCCCAGGTTGCAGGTTTGGTTTCCCTGCAAGAGGCAACCGATTGATGTTTCTCTCATATCAATGTCTCTCTCTCTCTCCCCCCCTCCCCCTCTCTTCCTCTCTCTCTAAGAACAATAAAAATCAATAAAAACATATTTTAAAAATAAAGAAAAGATATTCTATACTCATTAACTGAAAAGTTAATATTGTTAAATACACCATATTTTCTAAAGTAATCTAATTCAATTCAATATCTAGCAAAATTCCAATGCTATTTTTCAGAAAAATAAAATAAGCAATCCAAAAATTTGTATGCAACCACAAAAGACCTTGAATAACCAAAGCAATCTTAAGAAAAAAGAACAAAGCTGAGCCCTGGCCGGTTTGGCTCAGCGGTTAGAGCGTTGGCCTGCGGTCTGGAGAGACCTGGGTTTGGTTCCCACTAAGGGCACGTACCTCGGTTGCAGTTTGTCCCCAGCCCTGGTTGGGTCGTGTGAGTGGCAACCACTCGATGTGTCCCTTTCACGTGGATGTTTCTCTCTCTCCCTCCCCCTCCCACTCTATCTGAACAAAATATCAAAAAATGTCCTTGGATGAGGATAACAATAAATAAATAAATAACAAAGCTGAAGGTATCACATTTCCTGACTTCAAACTATATTACAAAACAATAGTAATTAAAACAATATGGTATTGGCATACAAACAGACTCATAGATCAATAGAGCAGAATAAAGAACCCAGAAATAAATCCACATATACATGGTCGATTATATAAGACAAAGGAGCCAAGAATATGCAATGGGGAAAGAACAAACTCTTCAATAAATGGTGTTGGGAAAAGTGGACAGTCACATGCAAAAGAATAAAGCTGAACTACTATATTACACCATTTACAAAAATTAATTGAAAATGAATTAAAGGCTTGAATGTAAGACCTGAAGCCGTAAAATTCCTAGAAGAAAACATAGGCAGTAGGCTCCTTGATATCAGCCTTGGCAATGGCGTTTTGGATTTGACACCAAAATCAAAGGAAAATATATAAACAAGTATGGCTACATCAAACTAAAAAGCTTCTGCCCAGCAAGGGAAACCATCAGCAAAATGCAAAAGCAATTTAATAAATGGAAGAAAATATTTGCAAGTCATATATCTGATAATTGGTTAATATCCAAAGTATTTAAAGAACTCATACAATTTAATAGCAAAATAACAAAACAATCTGATTAAAAAATGGGCAGGGAATCAGAATAGACATTTCTCTAAAGACATACAGATGGCCAACAGGTACATGAAAGGTGCTCAGCATCACTAATCATCAGGTAAATGCAAATCAAAACCACAATGAGACATCACCTAATACTTGTTAGAATGGCTATTATCAAAAAACAAGAGATAACAAATGTTGGCAAGGATGTGGAGAAAAGGATACTGTTGTTGGGAATGTAAACTGGTATCATCACTATGGAAAACAGTATAAAGTTCCTCAAAAAATTAAAAACAGAACTATCAAAAGATCCAGCCATCCCTCTTCCAGTTATTTATTGGAAGAAAACAAAAACACTTACTTGAAAAGATATATGCACCCCCATGTTCACTGCAGTATTATTTGCAAGAGCCAAGATACAAAAGCAACCTAAATGTTTATCAATGAATGAATTGATTAAAGAAAATGTGAGATATATATACATATATATGTGTGTGTATACACACACACACACACACAGACACACACACATATATATAAAATGCAGCCATTAAAAAAGAATAAAATCTTGCCATTTGTGACACCATGGACAGACCTCGAGAGCATTATGTTAAGTGAAATAAGTCAGACAGAAAAAGACAAATACCATATGATCTCATTTATATGTAGAGTCTTAAAAAAAACAACAACTCATAGATACAGAGAACAGATTGGTGGTCGCCAGAGGTGAGGTGTATAGGAGCAGGTGAAATGGGTGAAGGGAGTTAAAAAAAGTCCCTAGTGCTCTCTTACGAAAAAAAGAAAAGATATACCAATGATATCTATAGCAAAGTTAAGTCAGTTGTGTCTCTTCTTCTCCCTATCTATGGAAATCTGGCTGGAGTATTTGCTTCAAGGAATAACTGCAGACATCTACAATAGACACACACACAAACAAACAAAAATACATACAAACACATACACAGGAAAGAGAGTGACTTCCACACCCAAACATTCCTTGCACTGACAATCCTGGGGTATCAGCCTACACAGCTGCTTCAGGCTAGCACAATGTGAATGAAAGCATGTCTACTTACAGAGACTTTCAAATTCTAGATGAAATGCTATGTTCCTAGAAAACATAAATATCCATAGTTCCAGAAAAAGTCATAAGCCCAAACTGGACAATAACCATCGGAATAATTAAATATAAGGGTGGGTGGGGAGTGCATGCCCTAACCCCAAAAGGCACTGGGCCCAGACTGTTTTATGGGTGAGTTTGTCTCAATAAAACTGATCATCTCTATTTTATTTAAATTGTTCCTACACATTTATCTTTGGAGGCAAAGAAATGTGGACTTGAATAAGTCTGGGGCAGGCTAGCTCCCTGCAGGCTCAATTTCAACCATCCCACATAGAAAATAAATGAATAAATAAACAGTTTATACACGTTAAAAAAAACAAAAAAGCCTCCTTCATTCTGTGAGATGAGCACAAACACATATATACATACCAAATGCAACAAGCTGGGTTCTATGGGCCAAATCTGTCTTGCCAATGATTATGTATAGGTAACATTGTAATTGCTGAATATAAATGTTATGAGACCCAACATCCATTCTCCTATTACCACCACCTCCTCTTCTCTCTTTGTGAGCCTCATGTACTTTGCTCAATTTTTTAAAACAAATTTGGTTCCTCTAGGCATTTGAGTTTACAATTCTTATCAGAGACTAATTACACTTGTGAATATGGTATTTCTAATTCTAATTAAAATATTAGCAAATCAAATCTGGCACAGAATAAAAGAAGAAAGCATTATTAACCATTTAAAGCTTATACTAGGACCAGGTTATCATTAGAAAATTAATTCACAGAATTCACTATCTTAATATATTTTTCAAAAGAAAAGAAGTAGCATACCAATACATCATCTAATATACAGATTCACAACCACTGGGGATCCATGGATGGGCTCCAAAGTGCCTGTGACAACCTGCAATTGTCAACACAATAGTGGTGTATGTGTGGGAGTTCCACAACACATTAGTTCTCAAAGAAGTCCAAAACCCATGAATCCTTTCAAAGGCTGCAGTATTACAATGGACTACTTAACTCTGCATTAAAATGATATTGCTGAAGGCTGCCCTAAAATAAAGAGCATGAAGATATATCATACTGCCCTGGCCGGTTTGGCTCAGCGGTTAGAGTGTCGGCCTGCGGACCCGAGAGACCCGGGTTCGGTTCCCGCTAAGGGCACGTACCTCGATTGCAGTTTTTCCCCGGCCCTGGTTGGGTTGTGCTGGTGGTAACTACTCGATGTGTCCCTTCACGTCGATGTTTCTCTCTCTCTCTCTCTCCCTCCTACTCTATCTGATCAAAATGTCCAAAAAAAAAAAAAATGTCCTCAGGTGAGGATAAAAAAAAAAAAGGATCATACTAATATTCAAACTGATCCAGTTTTAAAACAAGTTCTTAAATTCCGCTGCATTAAAAACCATTACTTACTGCCAAGACGATCTCTCGGATGTTTTTCACATACAGTTTCACATAATCTGTGACGTAGGTACTCATGTATTCGATGTCTACGTTATACCAATTCATCATCAGCGCCGCTTCATTTTCGTTATTCCCACTCCATATGATGATGGAGGGATGAGATTTCAGTCTCCTGATCTAAAATGAAGAAAACATCAAATAATTTCCGAATGCTCAACATAAAAAAAAAACCTCAGAGCTGTAAGATTCATAAAATGATAGCCATAGAACTTTGCACATGAATTTTTATGTGCCAGAAAACTCATTAGAAAATGGCTAGTAACTTTATCTGTGGGAATACATTTTAAGAAGTCTCTGAGATTCTTTTTATCTAGATTTTATTAACACCACTAAGATAGAACTCCTCTTCTCTGCTGTGTAAAAACAGAAGAAAGTATAATCCCTTTTATAAAACAAGAAAAGCAAATCAATCTCATCATTATCTGACTCACCACAAGGTTCTAAGAAATACAGAGTGCAGGAGACAAGAATGACATGAAAGGGTTAGTTGTCTCTAGAGCGAGCTGGAGCTTTGTGTGAAGAAACAAATGAGGCAGAACAAATACTTTGGCTGAAACAGGTATCGAGGCTCCCACGCAGTCTCCACCAAGGTCAAAACCCATAAGGACTAGAGAAGTTAAAGACAAATATAAGGAATATTCTAAAGAAAAAAAAGATGAGGGCATCAAGAAGATGTCTCCTGAAATAAGTATCAATGTCATTCCCAAGAAATTAATTAAGGCTAAGTTAGTTAGCGAATCTACCTAAAACCCTGCCAGGCTTAAGAATTGAGGTCTGCATGACCCAGGCTCACTGTGGGCCGGCCCTACATAAGCTGAAAAGATCCAGTTCTTCTGACACACTGGGAGATATACCCCAATACAAGAGGGAAATTAAGCCTTTGGGGACAACAGAGGGAGTCAATGGTCAAGAGAAATTCTTTTGGAACATGTTTTAGCAACACGACCTCGTTAGCATTTACCATTTCTCTTTCACCAGTGATGGATCACAGCCGATGTTTCCACTGTGGTCTCCATGCAAAACGCTAAGTAATTCACACATGATCTAGAGATGCATTAAGGATGTATTAAAGAGATGCACCTCATTTTAAATAACTAACATCCTGCCCTGGCCGGTTTGGTTCAGCAGTTAGAACGTCGGCCCACGGACCCGAGAGTTCTGGGTTCGGTTTCCGCTATGGGCACATACCTCAGTTGCAGTTTGTCCCCATCCCTGGTTGGGGTCGTGTGGGTGGCAACCACTTGATGTGTCTCTCTCATGTCAATGTTTCTCTCTATCTCTTCTTCCCTCTCTTTCCCTCCCGCTCTTTCTGAAGATAAATGCAAAAATGTTCTCAGGTGAGGATATAAGTAAATAAAATAAATAACATCCTGTGTTTTTCTAAACCAGCCTTATGACCAGTATTTCCTTTATTTGCCTCTACATACACCCAGGTAAGTGAGGGCTGCTACCAGCGCTGACTGGCATGTTTATGGTGCTGATGAAAACACAAATCCAAACACTGAAGAGGCAAAAAGCTTCAGTGTCTCTGTGACACTCTTCAAACTGACCTAGAATTTTATGGTAAGCTTCACTTTAAAATGGTAACAAACTCTGTACTAAAAGTTACCCTCTTTAATAATACATCAAAGAATAGAAAGCATACAGATATCGTATTTTAATTATTTGTATAAAAGAAAATTAAAGATAAAATTGAAATGTTTGCAACTTATACAACTATCATGAACATTTTAAAAGTTCTTCCTTCATCCAGCCATCTATCTACATGGTGAACTGTCCAGCCAGGGGATGGGGGTCCAGAGGGGAACAAGCTCTGGCCCCAGGGAGACTGCAACTTTGCAGGGCGGATAAAACCTGAACAAGCCATTCAAAGTGTGATGTGTGTCACCCTGGAGGCTCAGTTGGTTAGAGCGTCATCCCGTACACCAAAAGGTGATGGGTTCAATTCCTGGTCAGGGCACATACCTAGGTTGCAGGTTTGATCCCAGGTCAGGGCACATACAGGAGGCAACTGATTGATGTTTCTCTCTACATCAATATCCCACCCCCCTTCCTCTCTCACTAAAATCAATAAAACATATCCTTGAGTGAGGATTTAAAAAAAGAGTGTGATGTGTGTCACAAGGGCAAATGACCATATCTAGATTTGCTGATTTATAAAGGTTTTTTCCAGAGGAAGCCATGCTCAAGGTGAGAGGGGCCAGAGGAGAATGAGTGAGCTGGTCCACAAGGGAAGGTGATGGGGACGGTGTTCAGGGCACACAGCGCGGGAGACGGTGCTTGACGAGGTGGAGAAGGGACAGCGCCTGCTGAGGATGTACCTATAGGGCATTCGTGTGTAATCACCAGGAGACAAGAAAGAAAACTTTACCAACCACCCAAGAGTCTCTCACAAACCCCTTCCCAATCACAGTCCCTTCCTCATTCCAAAATAGCCACTATCTTGACTGTTATAGTAATTACTTCCTTGTATTTCTTTTGTTTTGTTTTCTTCATGCAAATACACCTCCACTATAATTATACACTCTTGTATTTTAACACACTTCATGAATTTCAACCCACTGACATTCTTATTCCTATTAAACTTCAAATTGTCCCACTTTGGGCTGGTCAGAGTCTCATCAAAGTTCTTTTGCATATCCTTAATAGCTCCCTTGTTGTATGTGTGTCCAAATATTCCAGGATAATCTAGTAATTTCCTGTCCCAGACCTGAAATCAACCAATTCTCTAAGCCCTTCTCTTAATGGAAAGTGTTATTTCAATGTTACTAGGTTGTTCATTGTTTCTAGGCCTTTTCAGTGAATGGAGCTGGGATATAATCACTTCCTTGCATTTACAGATCTGTAAATATAAATACAAATGTGTATATGTGGAATGCAAAAGAAATCAAGGAGTCAATCAAAAATCACTTTAAGTTTTTGACCCGAGAAATTCAGACTGGCATTGCCAATGACTGGAAACTGCAGGAAAAGCAAGTTCGGGGAAGGTGATATGAGGTTGTTTTGGACATGTTACATTTGGGACGCCTGTTAAACCTCCAAGTGTAGGCCCCAAGTAGGTAGCTGGATATAAGAACCAGGAAATCAGCAGAGAAGTCAGGGCTCAGGATAAATCTGAAAGTCCTAAGGTGGTCAAGTCATGAGACTGGGTGGAATTACCTAGGGAGACAATTACCTGACTGTGAGTTTTCATGAGATTTAGGAAAGAGAACAACAAAAAGAAATGAGGAGAGGTTTAACAAAAGGCAGAACTAAAACGTAAGCATTTTCCTCTTTCTTGGAATGGTGATTACATACCTGGTAAGCAACTTCTGTTCTCACTGAACTCATGAAGCCCCGATTAGTTGGATAGAGGGCACAAGCAAACATAAAATCCTGCCATACCTAGAGCAAAGGAGATAAAACGCAATAAAGCACTTCCATAGATTTTATCACAGAAAAAACGTCTTCACTCTGAACTGTGGGGATCCTCCTTCACGCAGATGAAAACTGAAGTCCGCCTGATGCGTGGGATCATCTGAGCACTTCTATGTGTGAGGCACTGGGACAGGGATGCACCCCATGACTTCCCAGAACTGCACACAGCTATAGGGAATCCTGAGAGGAGAAAATGTTAAGTAGGCAGGAAAGAGAAAATAAGAAAGGAATAATCAAATAAGGAAATAGTGAGTGTGTTGAGGGGGTTATAAAACTCAAAATGAAGCTCCCACTTCAGACCCTTCTCCCTCCAAATTCACTCTCATTTTCACTGAGAATTTTGTACTGAGAAATGGACCAGACTGTTAAGAAACATATGTTGTTTATAAAGGAATTAAGTTTCCATGGCCAGAACAATTACTACATGGACATGTTAGTACCAACACCACATAAGCTCATTCCCAGGGAGGCTGTCATGACACAGTGGTTGTGAGCACGGCCCCAGCTCAGTGGTCCTGAGTGGGAATTCGGATTCCATCATAGCCCCACTGTGCACGTGTGCGCGAGTTTAACCTCTGCACATGTCAGTTTCCTTCTCTGTAAAATGTGGATACAGAACAACAATAACCACCCCAGAGAATGGGCATGAAGTTGAAATAAAATAATAGATGCAGAGCACTGAGAATAATGCCTGGCACTCAATGAATATTACAGAATATTGTCCCATCATCATGGCCATCAGCATTATCAATATTATTACAAGTACTACTCTTCTATGGAGAGCTTTCCAGTTTAGAAGTGTTATACTAGAATTAAAAGTAGACTTCCTGTGCGTAACCCACACTAACACAAAACATTTTCAGAGTACTTCAAACAATATTAAGCACACCTTTATTTTAATTTTATTACTTTTCTTTTCCTTTAGAGCTTGTTAGTGCGCCTTAAAGTTAAAATTTTAAAATATCTTATTTTCTTTTTTATGCATACTCTCAAATCACAGTGAAAATAACAAAAATATATACTTATCCATAACTGCTATAGAGAATGTCTATCACTTAAAAATAATTAAGTCATTAGGATATTTGCTATCAACTGTGGGCCAGGGTTCCTAAGATGCCATTTGTTCTTTTGCAAAAAAAATGGAACATCATTCCTGACTCTGAGTAAAGAAGGAATGAGCAACATCACCCTCTCAGAATACCAAAAAGGTAACATATCAAGAAATAAAATGCTGTCAACTACTTACCATTATTCCCAGTTCATCACAGAGTTCATAGAACTCATCACGCTCATAAATACCTCCTCCCCACACCCGAAGAGTGTTCATGTTGGCATCCACAACAGAATGCGAAAGGAGTGATAACCTGCAGAGAAGTTTTAAAAACAAACACTAATTTGAAAATTTGGGGATGTTAAAAACAGATTTAAAAAACACACTGTGGTTTATAAACACTTTAAATGTCTGTTAGAAAAACACATTTTAAAATTATGATGGTTTGGATATAATGTTTAATGAACAAAGTGAGAGAAAATTATATACACATTAACTATAACCACATAAAATACACAAACCTAGAAAATTTAGTGATATTGTCTCCACTTTCTAAATTTTCAGAAACATTATTATACTATTTTTAAAACTGAATTTTGGTTTTAAAGTTATTCCTCTAGAAAAATACAGTTGTAAATTGCATGTGTTAATGTTATATAACCATTTCAAACTATAAGACAAAAGTCAGCCTGGCCGGTGTAGCTCAGTGGATTGAGCATCGTTTCATGGACTGAGAGAGAGGTCCCGGTTCAATTCCCTGTCAGGGCACATGCTGGGGTTGAGGGCTGGATCCCCAGTAGGGGGCGTGCAGGAGGCAGCGAATGGATATTTCTCTCTCACACTGATGTTTCTATCTCACTCTCCCTCTCTCTCTCTAAAAAATCAATGAAAACATATATATTTAAAACAATTTTAAGACAAAAATCAAAGTTTAAACATTAGTACCTAGCTAGCTTACTCTTATCTCCCCTTTGTTTTACAATTCTTCTAGTCCAGTAGTTCTTCCTCCAGGAAATTTCTTTTCTGTTTTTCCAATTCCTATTCATATTACCTTCAGGAAAGTCTAGAAAGGCACAGCCACTTTGAGAGCACGTACACTCCATCTCTAGAACAGTGCCCAAAAAGAAACAAAAAAACCGATGACAGGCCAGCCACGGACCCGGAGCATCGTGCTCTCAGCAAAGGGGCCATGGGCAGGTTTACTAATTGGCCCAGCTGTGCTGTACAGCTGTCACCAAAACTAGCCAGGAAAGGAAAAGAGCATTTAAAAGGAAGAGAGACAGCTAATTATCTGTGCCTATATCTGGAGAATAATTTCATTTTAATATGAAATTCAAGACAATATACACATTTTGAAGTAAAAGAAAATACTGCAAATTTGGGCAAAATTAAAGTTTAGTTACCAACCACATCTATATTCTAAACATCTAACAATATACTACAATGCATATTAATACATTTGTAAATAAGTTAAACGTGTTTATTTTCACTTCACGAAGTTTAGCTTCAGTCTTCAGTATCACAAAGATAGCAGTTTACATACCCAATAAAAAATATTACTTTCTTATATTGTTGTATTCTCAAAGCTTCAGCAAAATACTTTAAATCTTTTCCTAGATCTAGAATTTTAAAGATCTTCTTAGTTCTTTTTATTATGGTACAAGTAAAGGGATATGCAACTATCTTAGCATGAAGAGGTAAATATGGGTTTTCATTTTTTAAAAGTATGAATAAAAATAATTAAGGTGCTCTTTGAAAAGCTGGGGAGAAAAAGAAACAAATTTAATCTCTTATAAATTCGTTTTATTTTATAAGTCTCTATTTCCCCTCAGTTCCTTCCACTGGAACAAAATAAATAAATAAATAAATAAGAATGAGTAACTCTTAAGCTTTGTGTCTCTGTTAATAAAATAGAAATAAGAAAAGAAAGATGATAACTTACAAGTCAGAGGTTACTCGATCCTGGAACGAATCTGCTGGGATCCAGTTTGATCCTTTCAGAAATATGGGAACTCCATTAATTTTGAAGTAGAAACTCAGACCAGGAGACCCTTTTATAGGCTCTTGTATCAGTTCCACTGTCCTAAAATAAATCTATTATGAACAGAATTAAATATTAAAAATCATATTGAAAACTAAGTAAAAGATTTCTTTAAAAAATGAAAGCAAACTTTTGAACAATTTACATGAGCACAATTTCCTATTTGCTATGAAAGACTTAGTGTGTAAGTGCACATTTCAGAATATATATATATAATTTATTGCCAGGTTTGTTTTTTTCTCTTTAAACAAAATGTAGAAGCTATTAAAAATTGAACTATACTGAAGTCTTCCTCATGAAATAGGCATTTGTAATTATAACAAAAGAAATGTATTTGAAGATAACAGTATCACACATGGATAAAAGATCTGTTCAGGGTGCAAGACATACCAATAGAATTTAATGTAACAGAGTAAGAAGAATTCATTGAAATGGCTTCAGATTCCACACTGCAACTAGTTTTTTATTTTATTTTATTTTATTTTTTTATCCTCACCTGAGGACATTTTTTCCAATTTTTGTACAGATAGAGGAGGGAGGGAGGGAGGGAGGAAGAGAGAGAGAGAGAGAGAGAGAGAGAGAGAGAGAGAGAGAGAGAGGGAAACATCGACGTGAAGGGACACATCGAGTGGCTGCCACCCGCACGACCAACCAGGGCCGGGGACAAACTGCAACCGAAGTACGTGCCCTTAGCGGGAACCGAACCCGGGTCTCTCCGGACCGCAGGCCGATGCTCTAACCGCTGAGCCAAACCGGCCAGGGCGCAACTAGTTTTTTAAAAACCACCACTTGTTAAGTTCTAGTGCAGTACCAAATAATACCCACAAATAGTCAAGCAGTTTGAAATGGCTACTCCTCTATTCCTCAACATAGTGACGTCAGATTCCCTGCCTATGTTTCAATAAAAACAACATATAGTCGCCCCTCACCACTTGGCGCTTGGACTTTCGGGGCTTCACTTTTGAAAAAACCGCCATAGAGTGAAGCCCCGAAAGTCCAAGTGCGAAGCGGCGAGGGAGGACTGTGTATAAATAAAGAATCCTACTTTGTGGAAATTCATTTATCGCGGTAGAGTCTGGAACTGATTAACTGTCATAAACAAGGGCCAACTGTACTATGTTCCAATAAAACAATATATTGCAAAAAGAATGAAGAAGCAGATAAGAATCCAGATGTCTCCTATTAAGACTTTAAAGATATCTGCACCCTGGCCAGTTTAGCTCAGCAGTTAGTGCGTCGGCCCGCGGACCAGAGAGTCCTGGGTTCGGTTCCTGCTAAGGGCACGTACCTCAGTTGCACTTCTCAAATATTCTGAAAAATCAGGGGAAAATGGCTGAATGATAGTGAACAAGGTATCATTTGATCCACTGCATTAGAACTAGCGTCCAGTTCTTGGTGAAGATGATTGGGGTATTGACCATTGCTACTTTGATTTCTCTGGGCAACGTGAGATTGGCACTTTTTGTGTTTCTCCTGGCACTGCTTCAAAATGCGGTTCCTTTTTTCTACATAAATGTCCATTTCCTTACATTCTGTTGTTGCACAGTAAATAGATTTCACCTTAATTCCTGTGCACTTATCTTCAAAGAGTTTTAAAGCTTGGTATTTCACTATACAGTATGTTTTCGAGGCAGATTCCAGCTATTTTCAAATATGTTGGTATCTGATTAGGCTCACGTAAAATTCTACACAAGGGGAAAAAAAGGTAATCCAGAAAAGGAAAACTGCACAGACAGAGGACAAAACCTGAGCTGATTCATGTGTCCACATTTTCTTTGGATCACACAGTACTTCAAAGTTGAGATTAACTTCTTAAAATTTAGCTTTAGCTTTACTGTGCCCTAGTTTCATAATGAGCATTCCATCTTGCCCAGAAATGATATTCTGCACTTCCTCTAAATGATGAGATGAGATTTAAAAGAATGAACAACATTTTTCCGAAAGTCCAGAAAACGTCACACAGAAAGAAATGTTTCCAAAAGAGCAAATTTCACCAGGTTCAAAGAGCAATTTCCAGGAGGCAGAAATAAAAATTGGGATTAATCTCTGATTTCTGTATGTACTCCACTGTGAATAGGTCATATTGCAGCACTCTGACAGCGCTGACCACAACAGAGGTTTAGGAAACATTTGTTTTAAGATAGCTTTTGTGAGTTCAGCAGCAGTACTTCCAGAAATAAAAGAATGACTACCACTTTCTATATGGACATATCTATTAACACACATCTGATCTCTGTATGAAGCATCAGAAGTGCTATTAAAAAAAATTCCAGGAAGTTCCCAGAAGGAGGCAGAGTAGGTGAAAGTTACACTTACCTCCTCCCAGAACCAAATCAGAATTACAACTAAATTATAGAACAATCAACCTGAATAATCAACTGGAGTATCTGACAGAACTCTTAGAGCCAAGGATTTACAGAAAAAGCCACATCAAAACTGGTAGGAAGGGCAGAGACATGAAAAGGGCTGACCTACACCCATGTATGGCAAAGGCTTTCAAGAAGGTCCAGGCAGACTCAGGGGTATCAGACAAACTGAGTTGTGTGTCATTGGAATGAGAACCATTTTTTTTCACTGTATGCCCAACCAGCACCACCATTCCTATGCAAATTCCTCCCTTCACACAGCCAAATCTTAATCTGTTTTAATCTGATGAACTCTACTGGACTCACCCTGATGACTCCGTGAGACAAAGATCCACATGCCCAGGCAGGTGGCGGCTGGACTTAGTATACCCTGAGACTTTTGCTAAGTGGCCTCAGACTCAGCTCTGGCACCAAGTTAGAATATGTATCAACCTGGTAAAAACCACTTGCTCCTTCCTGGCAACTCACTGCCAAACTATCTCACTTAACTCATGTATGGCCAGAGGTTCTTTCACTGACTGAGCCTAACAGGCAGCTGGCAGGTGGAGGCAGACCTTAGGGACCAAAACAAATAAAGTAAGGCAACCAAAATACAGAGACAAAGAAACATACCCCAAATGAAAGAACAGGAGAAAGCCCCAGAGAAAGAATTAAATAAAATGGACACAAGCAAGCTACCAGATTCAGAATTCAAAACAATGGTTATAAAAAATGCTCAAGAAACTTAGAAGAATGAATAAACTTAGTGGGAACTTAAACAAAGATATAGTATAAATACAAAAAGGACATAGTAACCATAAAAAACACTAGTCAGGCCCTGGCCGGTCTGGCTCAGCGGTTAGAGCATCAGCCTGCGGTCCTGAGAGACCCGGGTTCGGTTCCCGCTAAGGGCATGTACCTTGGTTGCAGTTTGTCCCCGGCCCTGGTCGGTTGTGCGGGTGGCAGCCACTCGATGTGTCCCTTTCACATCGATGTTTCTCTCTCTCTCTCTCTTCCTCTCTCTCCCTCCCACTCTACCTGAACAAAAAAAAAATGTCCTCGGGTGAGGATAAAAAAAAAAAACACTAGTCAGAAATGAATACAATATCTGAAATTAAGAATACACTAGAAGGAATAAACAAGTGACTAGATGAATCAAAGGATTAAATTAGCAATTTGGAAGTTAAGATAGGAGAAAATACCTAATCAGAACAGCAAAAAGAAAAAAGAATTTTTAAAAAAATGAGAATAGTTTAAGGGACATCTGGGACAATGTCAAGCATAACATCTGCATCATAGGGGTACCAGAAGGAGAAGAGAGAGAGCAAGGGATTGAAAACCTATTTGAGGAAATCATGACTGAAAACTTCCCTAACCTAGTAAAGAAAAAATAAAAAAAGACGCAGAAGTTCAGAAAGTGCAGAGTGTCCCAAACAAGATGAACCCAAAGACACCCACACCAATACATATCATAATTAAAATGGCAAAAACTAAAGACAAAGAGAGAATCCTAAAAGCAGCAAGAGAAAGACAGTTACTTACAAAGGAGCTCCCGTAAGACTGTCAGTTGATTTCTCAATATAAACATTTCAGGATAGAAGCGACTGGCATAAAATATTCAGAGTAATAAAAAGTCAAGACCTATAACTAAGAATCCTCTACACATCAAGGCTACCATTAAAAATTGAAGGAGAAATAAAGAGCTTCCCAAACAAGAAAAAAAACTGAACAAGTTCATCATCACCAAACCCGTGTTACAGGAAATTTTAAAGAAACTTATTTAAGAAGAAAGGAACAAGGAGTAACATAAATATGTATAATAAAATGACAATAAATATGTACATATCAATAATCACTTTAAATATAAGCTAATTAAATACAGTAAAACCTCGGTACTCGAACATCTCCCATGTCAAACAATTCACTTCTCAACCCAACAACCCTTTCATGCTGATACCTGTATGAGTCACACATCTCTCAAGTGACAAAGGAGAGAGTACACAAGTATGAGTCAGTTTACCACTAAACCCCACATTGTTAACATCTCAGGAAACTGCTGTAAATATTTTTTAAGGTTGTTTTTTTGTTTTGTTTTGTTTTGCTTTTGTTGCTGCTTGTTATTATTCAATTTTCATTTTTTATTGTACATTTCTTTTTTTGTTAAATTTTCATTTACATTTCATGTCCTTTTCGTTTTTCATGATCATTTCTGCTACATTCTTTGTACTTTTCTGTATATGTGTTATACTTCACAATAAATAAAAAATAAAAAGAAACCCTAGTCTGACACGTTCCCACCACATTAAAAAAAAAGTCGCAGTCAAATGTCTTGCTTGCTGAAACACTGGCAAGTCTGAAACCACCTGAAACACTAAGAAATTTAGAACTGGTAAGAAACTGCATTCCCTTGAAGGACCATTCTGGATGGAAACAAGGGTGAATTAGATATTATCTTTTTCACCAAATTAGGTATTAATCTATACTTTTATCTAAATATCAAAAGCAAACATTGATTCCTGAAATTTGCAAAAGGCTCAGATTTTTACATCATTCTGGTGTCTTCTTCTGGGGAGGCAAGAGATCATTTGATCCAACCTCTACCATCCCCATCAAATGGACAAATGGACATAAATACTACTCAAAGTTCCCTCTGCACATGTCTTCTGAGATGCCCCTCAGTTACCCATGCTGGTATGAACAACCCTGGC